TCTTCCTAATAACTCTTATTCTTGTCACTTTATAAGTCCACCAATGGAGGTAATTGGTCCAATCAGTGAACTCGTTACTGGTTCAACAAGTAATTCTCGTATATTTATCAGATCCTTTATCGCTCATTCAGTATAGCCATATTATGAAAATAAAATAGAAATAACCAACATACGAATGTCCATTGTCAATGTTTCTAGAATTCAAAATTCAACGTTTTTTTTTCGTTACGTAATTTTGAACAATAACAGCTGAATTTATTAAATATCTTTCATTTCATAATAATTATGTATCTGTTTTCAATTATATTTTTAATATATCAATTTTATAGAAGATCAAAGGTTTTTTTTCAAAAATGTAGGAAATAGGAAGGGGATCTTCATATTTTTTTTTAGTGGAGCAATAATAAATCGAGTGAGAGATTCTCTGTATCACAATGAGATAGACTGGGTTTGTTTGAAAATCTTGTGATGATGTTGAACAGGGGGGCTCATCCCTTCCCCCTCCCTCCCAAGATTGATGGCGCACGAACTTAATTATGATTAACGTAGTCTTCTAAAAAAAAGAAAAATAAGAAGATAATTAATTATTATACTTGCTATAGTCCATGTTTTTTCCTTGTTCCCTGGTTTGAAACTTTTCATTCGGAAAATCCAAAACTCCGTCAAAACGTGCCCAATCAAAAATTCTGATAGCGCAACTTGCACCAAGATACCCCCTTGTGGGGACCCCTGGGTCTCTTTTCACATTATAACGCGTTTACTAAATGTAAACACGTATCAAGAAACAAATATTAAAAAAAAAAAATAATCCCTACTTTGTTGTTCATGAAATTATCTTCTTTTTTTTTTTTCAACAAGTCTTCAATGACCACTTAAACATTTTATATGGTTTCTTTATTTTTTATTCTAGAATAATTACTGTTATATTTATAAAAAAATAAAATAAAATTTTAAAAACTGAGTGGCGATTTCGCTCCATTTTTGTCTTTCTACACGTCACATAAGAAATTAGGAAACAGGTTTAAAAAGATGAAAATTGACATAAAACGAGCCAGAAGACATAAGACACTTTTTAAGCAGTAAACATTTCATGTCAATTTTCATGATTTTTTTCAACAACTTTCTTACTCACTTCTTAGGTGTTTGTTCTTACATAAAAATAGAGAGAATATCATTAAGATAATTTTAGTTTTGGTATTTGCAAGAGTACATTTTTCATTATTTTTTAGAGGTGATTTTAGTGTTGTAATTTTAGAGACATTTTTCCGAAACATGTTTTAAATAGAAAAGTAAATCCGAAGTGGACGCCAAAAAAAAAAAAGTCATAATATTGAACTCGCCAAATAAACGGACCAACTGATAAATTTTAAAGGTCTAAAATATCCCTCAACAAATTTAATTCAAATTGTATTTAACCTATATTTATTCTTAGCAGGGGTGCCCATTGCCCTTAATCATAATTAGTTGGCCCTTAATAATTCGCCAGAATTTTCGGTTAATATCATCTATGTTATTTTTTTTAACGTCATCGTACAAATCACTATTTGTTTAATTCTATTTTTTCTTGCATTGTTGGAAATAAGAAATAAGAAAAATTACGCATACTAGAAAACTCGAAAATATAATCTATTTTCATATCTTTTTATAATATAATAATAGTTTTTCACCGTAACTATCCCTTAAAATGTTATAAATGATAGCATGATTACTTTTTAGTCTTCTATTTTTAAAAAATAAATACCTAAGAAAATTGTTTACTTATCCTTGTTTCTAATCGTCTACAAATGAGTTATTTAAATTATTACTTAACATTGAAAACTTGCCTCCTTTTTTCCTTATGCCTCTTTTTTTTTTACATTGGATTTTTTCGATAATTACAAAAAGTGTGGTAACTTCAACATGCTTCCTCCTATCCAGACGAAATTTAGTAGGAATTTAGGGCTACATAAACTACACAAAATGACGCAAACCTTATGAATGAAAAGAAACTTTATTTGCGAATAACTTAAAAAGTAATCATATTTTTGTTTCCATCTTGGTTAGACTGGCAATTATTTGAAAGTTTATTGAATTCCCAACAAAACGAAAAATATGTAAAAATCGAATCATTATTAACATAGATACCGTCCATTGGATTTGGTGTACATAATTGTATCCTATTTTTCTGGTAATTGTAATCAACTAAGGAAAAAAAAAATTACAAATCTAAATTTATATCTTTACGAAAAACAATAGCCTCTGTCTCAGCTAATAATGGTCCGAATACGATGATTTCTTTTTAGTGAATTTAGTAATCTTTCTAATAACCAATGTACTTTTTGATTTATTTACAATTTTTTTTCCCTGAAGTTTTGGGGGATGTGACTATTTTTCACACGTGAAGGAAATATTTAAAATAAGGCGTTAATCATTGGATTTGATAAAGAATCGACGAAGATATAGCGTATCGACAAAAAACACATTTCAGAAGTAATCAATTCGTAAAGATTCAAAATATATCCTGGAACAAAGTTCACTTCAAATATTAGAAAGAAGCGAGTCCCCATTGTCCCGGTAGGGATCGACTTCAATGAAAAATTGTAATTACCAATTAAAATATTATTTCTTATTATAAATATTATTATTAATAAAATATTTATTTTTACTTTGTTTTTTGAAGGCCACCCAACCCACTTCTCTTCAATCGTTCACTACAATCAACCATCAATCCACTATTAAAAATATTATTTAATTTCATTGTAACATTTAATTTATATATAAACTAGTTTATTTTACTAAAATACAACCTCTTTATTATAAAATTGATTGTACTAAATTAATAAAATAGTGAGGAAGCAAAATCAGAAGTAAGCAATGGAGAAATTGTAACATAGTGAAATAAAGACCCAGTTTTTCAAATTCTTGTTTAATTTAAAACTAGAGAAAACGTTTCAAGCCGTTCCCAAATTTGATTTATAAAATAAATTTGCGCTGTAATTTGTTTGTTTATCGGCAGCTCTCTTACTAAGAATCTTTGAAGTGAACGTTCAAAGCATGTTTTTGCTAAATGACAGTTTTCAAAAAGGCCGGTGGATTCTAGGAAGTTGTTGAGCTTACGAAAGTTTACTTTAAGGGGAAATTCAGTAGATGTAAACAGTTTCGATACTATCGTAAACAGTTATTGTTGTCAAATGTTATGTTCATAGACTGTCGTCGATTCTATAAACAGTAAACAACAGTGCAGCCTTCTTATATAAACTTTATAGTATTTTTATTAAACAAGAGATAATTTGTCGAAGTCAACGGAGGGCGTTGTGAAATGTTCCTTTTGATAATGTTGCACAATGGGACAATCGTTGATTAATGCTTATAATGACCTACTCCTTCGTCCCCATGTTTAGTAAGGTACATTCCGCTGTGCTACTTTTCTTCGGTTCTGGAGTCGTCGTCCAGTCGATGTCTTGTTCCAAGATAGTCATTGCTAGGGAACACTATCGGATCCATGATTCAATTTTGGGTGGTGCTTCTGCCCGAAGATAATTCATCTTTCAACGTATCAGCGTTTCTATTAGTATGTTAAAAAGGGATGATTTTTATATAACCAAGAAATAAGTTTCTGGTTTTTCCAATGTTCCATGCCACTTGGTTTATTGGTTTAAATCATTTTTCATAAAAATCTTGACTGTCTCCAAAAATTCAGGATGTTACATTATACATTATAAGGGTTCCTTTCATGAAATTATTAACATCTGCCTAAAACTTCGTGAATGGCTTCAACTTAAGTATATGTACTTTAGGATGTACGAAAATTCTCAGATAACGTTTTCTCATTAAATTAATTAATTTAATGAATTATTAAAAAGTCATAAGTATCTATTTGCTTTCCACTTGAATCGTAAAATAATGTGTTTCTAAAAATCTAGAACAAAGTTGGCCTACATAAATATTGAGCCGTTTGGTCTATATAATTTCGTTATTTTGACTTGCTGGGGAAGGTCATTCCAAACGGTTCAATATTTTTGTAGGTCATCTTTTTTTTTTTCTCGATTTTATGATCAAATTATCTTACGATTTAAGTGGAATGCAAATGGATGCTCATCAGTTTTTATTACCTCATTAAATAGACAAAGTTTATCGATCTCCAAATTGAAAACGACCCATTTACGAGAAATTTCGTAACTAAAAAAGTTTTAGGTTACGATGTGATGAAGCCAATTACAAAGAATTAGACAGGTGTTAATAATTTGATAAAATGTGGTCTGTACCACGGACTGTAAGGATCAATTCAAAATTTTATCGGGGACATACTACATCGAGTGCCATCCGTGCTAGAGCCACGATGACATTCTCTTTTTGTCTCTTATTCAAGATTAGTATTTTTGAGTGAATCGCCAATTGTGTTCTTGTCAATTAAGAATCTATGAGATATATGTTATGTGTAATATCAATGCCTGTTCTTCACCGGTGAAGATTCAGGAAGACAGGATGTCGTCCGTTCAATTGTAATAAAAACCTGTTCATTTTTATCATAGATTCAATTGTTGAAGTTCTCTATGAAGAGTTTAGTACTATTGTAATCCTATTGATGGTAAGTTGTGAATATGGCTGAGGCGCTGTGGTATGGTAATAGAAGATGCAATTACCATATTTTAGCCGCGAGCTGTGGCTGTTATGAGCCTTGATTCCAACTTTAACTGTCCGGTTACAGCACCAAATTACTGTCATTATGCTAGCCGGGCCCCTCTTTCCTATGCATACATTTTTCTAGCGTCATAAAAGAAAAATGCATTGTCATGCTGGATACATAACCAGGAGGTTATTTAGTTCAGTTTTAGGAAGAAGAAATATTTAATTTCAAGTGCATAGATGTATTTACACGTCAAGAAAAAATAAATTAATTCTTTAACGGTGACAATAACAAATATGTATATTTTCAAAAAAAAATACAATTGATTCCACTAGTCTTTTTCACACTTGATGGCCTCAGAGGTCCTCTCATCTCGATTAATAATTTGGAATGCTTTTTTAGATGAACCTAAAAGGAATATTATTCTCTTGTGGAAGACGACCAGCTGAAAGAAATCCGCCTGTGTGCCCTGACCAGATTACGAAACATATGATCTCATCATGCCTAACGCTGTGTATACATTCCTTCTCCACGACTACCGCCATACTAAGCAGGTAGGGCAAAATATTTTAGCCATGACTAAGGCCTTCGATTGCGCATGGCTTCTCCCTTCTACAAAATGATTTCACTAATTTTCTTGAACGGTTATGAGTTTTCCTTTCCTAGAATCACTTAATGATTTATATCCACTCTCAGCATAATATGTATATTTATGATTATTGTCTATTTATTAGAATTCAGGTTTCATTCAAAAAGTACTTTTCTATTTCAGAAGAAATGCTTCAAGAAAAAACTTTTATCTTGTATATGAGTTGTGAGTCAGATAAGGATTGGGACCCGGCCATCTTAAGTTCACAGTACGATTGAAATTTAATGTGTTTAAAGTTGGAGGATGAGCATTACTCCTTAGATAATGGTGCATTTATTTAAGTTGTATGTATTTTTAGAATTATGGTCAATAATGTTTTTTTTTCAGATTTATTAGTATAAGTGTAAATTACTAATAAAATTAAATCTTCTGTAAATATATCTTCACGTTTTATCTATTAATAGTGATTAATTATTTTTTACCGAATATTTATTGTATGGTCCATATTTCTATTTTATATTTTATTAAGTTAAATGTAATACCTAGAATTAGATATTTTCTTTTAATGGATAGTCATTAATACAGACAAAAGCTCGTCACAGTGGTAAGCATTCTGTAGTTTTTTTATTTTTATTTTTATGATAATTAAGTTTTACGAGTTGACATTGGGATCAAGTTACCCAAGCGCCATCTGTTATCTTCTTTCAATATGTGCGCCCGCTAGAAGTCTGCCGTTGAAAATAGCTTCATGACGTCATTGAAACCCTTATCCGGAATATATTGTTTGCCATCCATATTTGTTCGGTACTCAATTACACTTTTTCTGAGAAACGTTATGATCTCAGAAGTACTCTCTGGGACTTTGGTATAATGTAACATTAAGTTACTAAAGTCGGATTTCCGACTTTAAGCCTTTCTTACGGGTATCCGTTTAACTATGAATGTTTTCAATTTATTATTTTAACATTTCGTTAGTGAATTGCTCCCTCTTCATATCTTTAGTTAAAATTGGTAACTATATTAACGGTTAATAATATTTAGATGATACATTTTCTTTAAACAATTAAGTTTTCTGTACGTATTTTGAAACTAAATTCTTCAGTTTTATTTAAGAAATTAAACCAATATACCGAAACTACCATGCGATGTTGAAACGAATATATCTATCTACGTTTACTCGCTACTTTTGCTACATATAACTGTTCATTAAGCAAATTTTTTCAGGACCTAATTAATTATCTTAAGTAGCCGTATATGTTTGTTCTATCCCGAGGATAGCGACTTGATATTGACGGTCAGTCGCTAATAATATTGGAGACATAGGACTGAGGAGATGAGCCGCCGAGACATTGCACGAAATAGGTCATGGTCCCCCCCCCCCACCTTATTCACACGGCCATTTAATGGAGCCCAAGTATTCCACCAGTGCCCCCTCCATCAGGACGCCTCTCGTAATATCCTGCCTCTCCTCCACGGTGGGGGGTCGGTTCCCCTTCCCCTCGCCCGCTTTGTGAATGAACCGCTCAAGGCCGCTCCCCCCTCCAGCTCTCGCTCGAGAGGAGGGGGCAGCCTATCACGTGCTCTTTAGTAACCATTCCGTGTTCAGTCCTCGTTCAGATATCGCTTCGAAACATCCTTCTTCAGTGCAGCCGTCCTCATCTCTCCCCTCCCTTCATTCCCAGCAGCAAAGTGAACAAATCCTTAGTGCATGTTTCTAGTGCCTGTAAACAGTTACAGTTTCAACTTTGTTATTAGTGTTCGATGTGTGTTAATTAGTTCCGTTTTCTACCCATCAGTGACTCTATCCTGTTTTCTTTTTTTTTCTTTTCGAAACGCATGAATGACTTCGGATGGGCGTTGTTACACGTTCTTCCCTCCAGGCAGCGACACCACACAGGCCGTCCAGGACTGCATAAATCACCTTTTTTGTGGCAACTTCGACTTGTACGAAATTGGTTTTCACAGTGGTCTAGCAGAGTGTATAAATCTCTGAGATCATTGTGAAAGCTGATTTTGTTTTCTTCTCAACGGTGATCTGTGATTTACCAGGATCTACGGAGTGATTTTTATCATCAAATATTTAATGGATTGTTAACGTTAATTCGTAAGTAATTAGTTTAATAAGTTTTGCGTAAATTTTAGATATTCAACAATGTGCTTGTTATAATTTCTGTTTTATTGTTAAAGTCTGATAGTGTATTATTTATTTAATCATGTTGACCAATTAGCCTGTTTAAAGTTCGCTGTTCTTCGATTGATTGAACATAAATACTTGTGTTAGTATAAATGTTCAATATAATGTTATAATTTTGAGAGGAGAGAGAGAGGGAGTAATATCTCGAAAGAACAGATAAGAGAAATTCCCATGGTTGTTTGGCATACATGCTTGTAGGTTGCGCCTCTGATCAGCACCTCGTGCACTGGTCTCTTTGTCAGGAACGTTTTTGCTGATTCCCATTGTTTTTCTTTTTCTTGCTTTAAATTACTCTTATTGGGATTTTAACTTCGTATCACCGATTTCTGTAACGTTTTCATACTAAATAATTTTGCCAATAACTATATTTTCCTAATTAATTATACATATAACGTTTTAAATTGTTCTTATACTATTTGATTTAATTATTCTAAAATTAATTCACGTAATTTTTTAATCTTATGAAATTTCATCCATCTGTTAAAATTTGTCTTTGGAAGGTGAATTGCATTATTTTCATGAGATAATATAAAAGTAATGTAGATTTATAAAATAATAAAACAATATATATGTTTATTTAAGTTAAGTAAATTTATTAATATATCCATGTAAGTAATGATTCCTAAATTTTGTATGTAAAATTACCTGAACATATTTTTTTAAAATAAGTTTTATGTTATTTATTATTACAAGTTCATGTGTGATTAACCTGTCAAATACTTGTTATCAGACACAATTTTATACTTCTTAAAGTTGTAACAGTTCATTTTATCATGTAGACCTGGATGGTGGATAAGAACTCAATTGTTCCTTATAGTAAATCAGCAATAATTACATGATAAAGCTGCACTTGTCATCTAGTTACAGATTCTTAGATCAATTTTTTATATTAATTTAGTTTCTGTTTAAACTATAAAAAGAAAATAAGTTGTGAAACAGAAACCTGTCTAAAATTAATATTCACATATTCTTGTTAGAATTATATGCTTCTATGTAAATTATGTAATGTTAGTTTTATTCATTATCTCAACTGCATGTCTATTTTTTTCCCTATCTATTTCTGAGTTGTTAATATATGATAGTATCTAATATGTAGGTTGTACTTAGATAGAAATAGTGTTAAATCCTAGAACAGTTATACCTTAGTGGTTAGAATTATTTTTTGTTTATCGGTCAAAAGGAAAAATCTGTGTAAATTAATCATATTTTAAAATTCCTTAGTTGTTTTATGAGTAAACTAACTGTCCTAGTAGTGTGTTAAATCTTGAATTTTAGTATCCAATATTTGCAAAAACTAATATTCTTACAATTGTTTTAAAGTTAAAGTTTTAGAAACAGTTAAAGTTTTATGATAATTAGAATGTAATAAGTTAAGATCTTTTAAGGGTTGATTATTAAAATTTCGACAGTCCTAATTAGCATGCTTATTTCCCACAGGAAGCTTTGTTAAATAGTATATAGACTTCACCTCTCAACTTGTTTCTCATTGAACTATTTTAAAAATTCAACTTTTTCTTTTATGTTTTAATTTTTAATTACTGCTGATCAGAAACAGGACATGCACACTTTCAAAATGTAAAAAAAAAAAATCATTTTATTTAACTATCTTGAGGGGAAAAAAAAATACTGTGCTCTACAATGGTGTTATTTAAGATTCAGTATTTTTATTATAATATCCTCTGTAATTAATTGTTAATACAACAATTTTGATTCAAATAATTTTTTTTTTTGTAATTTCAAAATTTATTAAGTATTTATAAGGATGTTATAAATTTGGTATTTCTTTCAGATAATAATATTTTCCTATTCTAGTGAACCATAAACATTTTTGCTTTTTGATGTTACAAACAAGATCATTATTTTATTTGGTATATTTAGGCCATCTCAGAATCAAATCGAGACATCCACTGAGCGCTGAAACTACGTACCAAGAAGATATTTTATATGTAAAATAAAAATTATTTTTCTTGTCTTTTTATTTTTATAAAACCAATTTTCTGGAAATATAAAACAACTAATAATTATAAACCCTGTCATTCATTTATTGATAAGATTTTTCTATGAGGAACTTATCGGCTTATCAATGATTTCAAGATTATTAAAATACTTAGTTATTCCTTCCAACCAAAAAAATATTTGGTTAATTAAATTAATTAAAAATTTTAAGTCTGTCTTTAATTAAGGTTTAGAGTTGAAATTAATTAGTAAAAATTATTTGTTTTTAAAAGAGCAATATGTCTTACCTTGTTATTAAGTAAGCTCTGAACTGCCTTTGTAATCAATGTTGTTTAATACATCCTCCAAAAGTAATATGTTGATTAGACATTTGAATAAATGTATTTGTAAATTATCTAAATGAAAAGGCTGATTGCCATAACTATTTTTTGAGATTGTATTTTGGACATGTTAAATTTGTAGTATTTTTAATAATAGTATAATTCAGAGGATACAATTGTGTGATTAAACTAGAAAGATAGGTTTTTTCTATGATTAAAATTAATTTTTTTTTTTTAATAAACCATAAAAATTGTGAACTGACCATAGCTTTGTAGATATTGAAATTTAGACTTATCTCGAGGAGAAATATTCAACAAGAATGGTATTGAAGCTATTAAATTGATTTCAAGTATATAAACCGATATAAAAAAAACATCACATAATTAATTTTAGTATGCATACACACATCAGAACTCTCAGTCTGTATCCAACTCTTCAGTATTTATTTGAACTGTAAAGAACTTATTATGGAGAAGATAAAGGTATGTATAATCAAGAATGATATGCCTCAATTTTAGTCTATCAAGGAAGTTAAATATAAAAAAAAATTAAGCAATATAGGAAGGGGTGCTAATGTGGAAGCATCAAGGCTTTCCCAAGTGTTGCACTCTGATTGGGTAGGAGAACAAATGATAATTTTTGATAAAACAGTTTTACTTTACAAACTTTCGATTTAACGTGTCAGATACATTTTTAGGAGTTTTTTAAAATAATGTGCAATCATAAGGTGAGAATAGGTAATTTTCAGGGGGGAAAAATATATAAAAACTTAGCAAGTTTCCATTTGTTCGCCTCTTCCCTGAATATATAAGAAGTTATAGCAAAAGTGCTATATGTACATGTAAATATAATTATTATATTCCATGTATAAGTAATTTTCTTATTCTCAAGCTGCTTTCTTCAACTCATGCAGTGTTTGTAACTTAATGTTCTACAGTGAATTCACTATTGACACCTTCATTCATTATTTGTTTATGTGATGATTGTATCGTGTTTAACTTAACTCTGGCAGGAGCTTGCCTGTGCAACATCAGTTAAAATGTTACCATGGTTTAAAGCTCTATTACACTTACTGGTCCCTTTGTGCTAGAAATGACCTGTGAGGAAGACACTACTGTTTGCAATATCTCTACCATTGAAAAATTAAATAATCAGGATGTTTTTTAATTCTTAATCATGACATTAAATAAAATAAGTAAATCTGAAATACTACCAGGAATTCGCAATGTAATTAAAATCAGTCTTATAATTATCATTCTTTTGTTGTGTGAAGTCATATTTCATTAAATTAATCCTAACTACTTTGATGGATTTTCTATCTCTGAATTCATAACATTTTGTACTTAGTTTAATTATATTTTTTATATGATTTTACTTTGTCTTTTATTCAATAACTATGGTCGAAATTTTCAAATACGTCCTTAGAAGTTAAGTTCCTTAAAAAATTTGCTTAGTAACTTATTGCCAATTACCAATATATTTGTAATTTCCCTAATACCACTCTTATGAAAGAAGGGGAGGAGAGAGAAATGTGACATTCATTTAATTTTAATGTCGACATAGGTACTGCCACCAGAGAACATACATAAGAAATAAAAAAATAAATTAATACTTTAATAATAAAGCTAATCAATTGATGATTTTTTCTCATAAAAAAAAAAATTAAATTTGGAAATACTATTGCTGAATTCGACAAAAATTTGAACATTCCTTGTTTTAAATTGAATAGCATGATGAGAATGTTTTGAATTGGTAAGATTTGAAAAACCTGCCAGTTGAAGGATTGAAAAATGTCCCTAAAACAGTTTAACTGTAATATAGTAGTACCTTTTATCTGAATTAATTCACAAAATTGTTATAAATCGTCAGACATTCAAGACAATGGCTCGTCTTATTTTTTTGTTATATGGCTTGACTTATATTATTTTGATTTTACCACTAAAATTGGCATTTACAGATTCAAAATTAAAACGATGTAATTTGAACAAATGTTAAAAAAAAAGGTATGTCAAATTAGTGATTTCCATTGACCAAACTTAAAATTTAATTTTTTATCTACATCGGTTTATGTTTATGCATTACTAGGCTGTCTTGGTTACTAGGCTGTCTTGGTGTACGATCCACTGAGATTAATTGGAAAACCATACATTTTTTATAAATTATATCCTCTACACAGTGCCATCCTTAGGCATTTTGCACCTCTGGACAATGTCGTCATCTCTCCCCAAATATAATTTATTTCTTAAA